GCCTACATTCGTTTTCCTGACGGCACTTCCTTTTTTTTGTTTTTACTTTTTGTGTTGGAGGAGATTGATGATGTCTTTTTTTTACTTTTTTTCTTTTTTGTGTTGCTTGACAAGAGTGCGAAAGTTTAGTAAAGTTTTATTAATGACGATGATAGATTTCTTATTCTTGGATTATTAGCGAATATATCGAAACAGTTATGGTTGGCTTTCTTGTTAGTATAAAAAGGAATTTAGCGTGTTTGGTGGGACTGGAGCTTAAAATAGAACACCGAATGAAACTTAAGTCCTGGATAGGCAATGAAAATCCTTCATATAAGGGAGTGTTTACAAAACCTAATTACATACGAGATTAATTTTTAAGCAAGAATTCACAGTGAATCATTTACCGGTTGTGTACAACGTTCCCATCGCCGGGTTTGTTATTAGAACATTAGGTAAATGACTCATCACTTCAGGTATAGAAAAACATCTATTTTATTTTTTATGTGATGAATCTTTTATCTGGGTAATACTCTAAACAACCTTTATGTTAGAAGTTTGTACAAATATTTTGATCCCTTCAATATAATACACAATTTATATTTTTCCGACACCTTTGCCTTGGTGTCTGATCCATGTTCGTTGTATTGCTAACTTCGAGGGATTACATCGCGTACATTGGTCTCGTGAGGCACTAACTGTTGGACATCGCCACTAATGCGGTTCTTCCTACGTCGTCCTTTTAAAGTTCCTTTATCCTTTCCAGTTTCCACAATTTCGAGGAATTTCTGTTTCATCTACTACAATTTTTTCTTTCCTCAAAATACGATCCTTCGTGTTTTTAGGATATTTCATAAGCTATTCGTTCATGTTTGGTTTTCCTGGTTCGAATTCGTTTTGATCGTTGGTGGTTGTTGATCAATTAAGGGAGCATTGGGCTCTATAAAATCGCTGAGCTATTATCTTAAAATCACTGAAGTTTCTATAGATAGCGGTCGAGTATTCAATTCACCTTCGACCTCCACGATCAGCGATATAAGTTCTCTTGCCTTTGATGACTTCCTTCTGATGGCTCTCCTCATAGCCTTCTCAATTGATCATATCAGTTGCTCGTAGAATCCTCTACTTCAAAGAGCTCTCAGTTTTGTACTTTCCCAAATCATATCCTTTTCGCCAGAAATTCATTTAGTTTGGTGTGTTACTTCTTCACGGCTTTGAAAACTAGTGGGGATTGGCTTGCATTGCTGCTCAAAACTTATCTGGATAACCAGTCGTAATATGAACCTCTTTAAAGCATGTGAAAAACTTTCAGCTGACAAATTCTCTATTACTTCCAGATGGACCGCTTTCTTTGTGAAACGTGAATAGGACAACTTGTCTTTTGGCTGCTCCATTCCCGTTTGAAGGAGAGAGAGTAAAGGTAAGCTAATCCGCTTGTGTGAGGATTCTTGATTGTTTAACTCGTGTTTCTGAAGATTTGGCATGGCTGATAATTTGAATGGTTTGGCTGTCCAACGCTTGCAGCCTGTGCAATTCAGTTCCATTCGTCCTTTAGGTATCCAAAATTCGTGCCTCATTTCTGGGTGTATGTGCGATTCCGGCATGATATAACGTTTCGTATGAGAATTTCGATGATCACATGTCTTGGCAAAGATTGGATATTTAATAACTTCTGATCATCGCAATGCAAATTCCATTTTTTTCTTCCTCGTTGATTCTTTCGGTCTGCACTTGTCTTATTAGTACCCATTCAGCTAATTTAAAACGTTCCGATGTTCGTCGTTTTCCTTCGATAGTCATCGGTTGTAACCGTACTATCTTTTCCTTTGTCGTTCGTTTGATAAATTTCAGGGCTGAGATGGTGGTCCTTACCGGTCTAAATCACTTTATAAACCGGCTTCCATCTATAAGCAAAAACTGTGTTTCCTGAATTGTTTGCACTGTAACTTTTGCAGCTATCGTCTCATACTCCTATTAAGATCATCCGCATTCGGTTTCCTTTATCCACTTTGGTCATTTTTACAATAACTTATATTGCCCAAAATTCGTGAGAGAAAGTTCTTTGGTTGCGACATCAATCGGGTTATAATTACTTGGGATGTATGGAATGAGGATTTTACCTTTTATATCTCTTCCATCTGATTTTGTATGTTTCTTCCTTACGTTCATATTCTTGTATGAATCTAGGTAGCATTTTCGATCGATTTTGTATTAAGCGCCATGCTCATTTCGAATTAGACCATAATACAACTGATATTTCGGCAAATAAGATATGTAGTTACACAATCTTTAAATCGACTTGCACTTTAATCCTTACTTGAACATTTTAAACCTTGTTTTTCATTCATCTCTTGATTAATTCTACCTTCCTCACCAGGGAATCGGGGCGTATCTACTGCACGTGTTCATCCTTTTGGCTCGTTGATCCTTTTGAAATATTTGCCTACTATTTGACCTTTTTAGTACTCCTACGTACAACTAATTGCATTTTTTCTCCTTCGCTGATTATTGTAATTTGTTGTCTTTTTCCGCATCAATCAACTGTAATTCTTAATTCGCTTTCATGACAGATTTCCCAAATACAGAGATGCAAATAGATCTGTATCGAATCGGTAATCTCATTAAGCTGTATACTCAGTAGATGATACCTTGCATGATTTTGAATCATACTTACATATTATTATTGTAATAAAAAATGTTCGTACTCGGATCCAAATATTCGACTAAGTCTTCATTAGAAGTAAAATTGTACATCCTGCAGAGGACATACGTTTCTGGAATGAATAGATGGTACTACAAATCGTGGTGTACAATACAAATCGAACTTGGTATCTACAGCAGCTGTGGTTTCTAGCATACTGTCTTTGGCTAAGTTCTGTTCAAGCCTACGTCGTTAAACCTGTTAGGTGGAATTAAGTGTCCTTCATAAGTCTAATCTTATGAGTTACACACTACGTTGTATTTGGCATTTTTTATTGAAACGCAACGATTTGCATTGTGGGTACACTAAACAGAGCGACGTTTCCATCGTACATTTGCTCATCTATGAAGAAAACGTGGGAGTTACAGTGTCTGGTGAGTGGGTGGAGTGATGGATCATGTATAGTGGGAACAGTTAGCTTTCTTTATCTTCTTTATTGTTTACCATAATAGTTGTTCCAATTGTGTGATAAGAAAATGAAACGTTCTTGGGGAAGTCTGGCCTAGGAATATATATGTATAAAGTTCACAAAAAAAGAAATATGAGAGTGTTGATAGCGACTGTACACTATAATGCGAAAAAAGCAGAAGTCGAAATAATTAAGGGATAATCTGCACAGGTAGATTAGAATAACGGGGAATATGTAGTATGAGCGCGTATCACTGATAAAGCGTGGCTCATTATTTTTATTTAGAATTTTAGGAGAGGTAGATGAACTTTTGAAAATTCTATATCCAAAAAGCATTCTGGTCTTAGGATGAGCTGGTAGATCATCTCTGTACCTTTCTCAATCGCTGAAAGAGGAAATATATTCTTCCCTTTCATAGAGAAATAATTTCAACCGATTCGATTAAGTAGCAGTTTTACGGATTGCAGCAAACGCTGAGTTGGAGTCGTCTTGAGAAGAAACATGAAATCTATTTTAAATGATTTCAACAAGTTTTTATTTGGATCAATGAAAACCATAATAATTGTTAATAGTAAGGAAAAGAAAGACGACGAGATTATAGACTGAAAGAAAAATGATGATGATTCATAAGTATTTCAGATACGACGATGGTCCTCATTGGAGCGGCAATTATAACAAAAACGGGAAAACGTAAGCTTTCGCATCGTTTAATGTATTTGCATAGAACGTTTCGAATGTTATTAGGAAACGTTTTTGAGTAAATATTCCTTCAAACTAAATTTTTGTTGGCTTACTGATTTAAACAGTAGGGGTGGATATTCAGTGATCTGAGGTGTAGATGAACACTCAGCAGTATATCTTATTTGATTTAATTGCTTAGCGTTAGGTATGGTGCTTTTTCAGCGCTTTTGGCAAGGATTTTCATCTCGGACATGACAAAAGCTCGATTAGAAGGATTGTTGGATGCTTTTCCTAAGCTAATTGCTTCCGACAAATGTAATTTTACTTCTTAATCTGAGAGCAGTCGGTACTTTATTTCAAATAATAATTATACTGGAGACTTTGAACTGTATCAAACTGTCCATAAGCTTGTCATTGAGGAGCACAGTACTATTTGAATTGCTTAAATAAAATTGGATCTTTTGATTGATTGCACAAAAGATCGACTTCTGTTAGTAAAAATTGTTAGATTTAGTAATGAAAAAATTTATTCATTTTAGCACAACGTCAGCATACTTTCATTGAAACAGACAGCGTTCGTTACGTTTTCCATCCGCTGGACAGTGTACATGTCGTCTTGATCACCACCAAAGCATCGAATATTCTGGAGGATTTAGAAACTCTTCGACTGTTTTCAAGAGTGGTTAGTTGTTTTGCAAAGTGATGAAAAATATCCTTGTCGATTAGTAAGTTTGTAAAGGTAATTTTGCGAAATATTATTAAGGTACAGATAGATGTTATTAAATAATAGTAATAATATATGGTAATCGAAAATAGTGATTTGGATATTCTGGAGGATTTAAAAACTCTTTGACTGTTATAGAAACTAGAAACTGTTCGACTGTGATCTTTTAAGCTTCTACTCAATAAAATCAAAAATTTGGACCTGGGAGTTTGTGTACCAGATATTATTGCATCTATCTGTTTCTCGGTAGGATTTGTTACGAGTTTGAGTTTAAATTTTCAGATCCTGTTTATTCGTAAATTATATTTCAGATTCCCGAGTACTGCCGGTCGAACGACGAAAAAGAAATGCAAGCAAATTTATTCGATCTCATATTTGCTTTTGATGAAATTGTCGCCCTGGGATACCGCGAAAATGTCAATTTGGCACAGATACGTACATTCACCGAAATGGATTCTCATGAGGAACGAGTGTTCAATCAGATAAAGATCGTAAGTTTTTTTGAACGATGCAGGCTCATATTAGCAAAATTAGATGGTAAGAGTAATTCCTCGTCATTATCGCCCATTCATTCTTCTTGTAGGCTCAAGAGCGAGCTGCTAATGAATTGATGACGCAGAAAGCCATAGAACTAAAGAAATTGAAGGCAGAACAGCGAAAATGTGGAAGAGGTATTTTATTCTTATAGCTCTTTAATGACATATTGTTTTTGTGTAAGGCCTCTTTGTACTTATTCTTAATACCTAAATGGCTTTAGGTATGGGAAGCACCGCGACAGCTATTAGCTCGTCATCAGTACCTTTAACGGCAGTTATCGATGATACACCAGTGCGACTTGCTGTAAAAGCGAAAACACCAGCTACTACACGTGGAAGCGGCAAGGCGTTGAAGCTTGGCTCTAAAAATGCTGATGATGACCAGTTTTTAAAACAGCTGAGGAGAGAAGGTCAGTGAGATACATAAACTTGCAGAAATATCATTAATACAACTTGGTTGATTTTTGCAAGGATGAAAGGCAGAAGTCCAGTTATGCCAATATTAAATAAGACCCCACATAAAAAGTTTGACGGTTACCAAGAATATTTCATATCTGAAAAGCAGGTGATGTAAGAAGTGATCTTTTCAACTAACTAATCTAGGTTATATACTTTCCTTATCTCACAGCGAACTTGACATCTCATTCTTTGGTAGGAGGTGGGTAGTGTATTGGGACATTGTTTTTATTTTGTTGTAATCAAATACTGCATAAAATGTAAAATCATTGTACTTTACGATTTATTGCATAAAATATTTCATTCAAGGGCAAATAGTCGATACACCTTTACGTGTATCAGACATTGCTGATGCTGGTGATCGCACTGTATCCGAAATCGGTTCGTCTATCACTTCACATGCTCCTGTTCATATTAAAATTGAAGAAAAACTATCGGCATCAGTATCGCGAGATGGTGGCCTTGAGAGCGGGGAGGTATGTCATAAATTCTTATGGTTAAACATTTTTCGAGAAAGCCCGACATTGGGTTTTATGAAAAAGTGCGTGTCAGCTTATCGTGAATCTCATGTTTTATATGTCCGTTTTGGAATCGATGTCATCAGCGATTCAAATTAGTAAACAGTTTAGAAGCTGTCAAGTCAGCGCATCTATGACTGATCAGCAGCAGGACAGTGATGTTGAACTGAATTAAGATCTTCAGAAATTTGATAAACATTTGCGCTTAAATCGCGTGTAAATCGCATATGTAAATCGTAAATCGCATATACAAGGTCATTATGTTAAATTTTTTATTGGTACTATCCATGGTAATAATGTTTTTTTTAAGGTACTGGGTAATGCTTCACTCTTAATAAACGGTTCACAGTTTGCTACTGTCTGCGTTCAAATCAGTAACAATGACAAACACGGTGCGCAGCTGCAGGTAAGTCATGAAATATGAAATATTTGTGATATCATATCTTTCAGTAATAATGCAGGCTATCTGTTTAGGTACATCCGAATCTCGACAAAAAAGAATGGCTGCAAAAATCACTGTTGAAATTGAAGTCAGTGCAGAAGCCGTTCCCAGTAAATATAGATATTGGTGTACTGAAGTGGCGATTGCTTCTGAGCAGCGAAGAATTGCTTCCTATTTCAAGTTTGTTTAAATACCTGCAAAGAACCACTATGTTAGCTGTCGTTATTGCAGTTCTCTAATCCCAGAAAGTCCTTAATTAATTACTGCGTTCTGTAGACAATATCAGCTATCGTCCAGTAAAAAATAAATAGTAATTCTGATTTCAGTACGTTGCACCAAAGCAAAAAAAAATTTAGCTTTTTTGTTCAAACATCAGACATGGAATTAATAGAGGGGCTGCTACTAGAATGGAACTTCTATAAATCAAAAAGCTTTTGGAGAAGGAAGTTTTGGATTTCAGTCAATTGCTGGCCAAATGAAAATCCCGATGGATGTGTAGTAAACATCGAATATACACTTCAGGCTGAAAATATGACACTGAACAGCGTTGTTATCGTCATTCCTTTACCGTATTTCTTTGGAAAACTTTTTTTCCCTTGTTTTGTGTTGAAATTTATGATAATTGAAAATCCTCTTCATTTAATACTATATACCTTATTTGTGCTGGAGATTTTGCAAGCTTTTCTAGACCGGCAGCTGTTCCGGTAATATCAGAATGTGAAGGTACTTACGAGTATGTAAGATCAAGATCTCAACTCATATGGAGTTTGCCTGTTGTTGATGAGTCGAATAAAACTGGTTCTTTGGAATTTAGCACTCCGAATGGACAAGCTAATCACTTCTTTCCAGTAGCTGTTCGTTTCACAAGTACAGATTTATTCTGTGATATGGCCGTGAGTTTTTAATTTTTCTTCTATTTTCATCAAGCATTAGTCTTGATATGAAGGTTGTATGCGTTGGTAGGATTTATTTTGCTTGTAAATGCATTTTAAGCTTTGTAAGGGAAACTGAAGGCAGTTTAATATTGCTACGGGTATAAATCGGGAACTGCTAGTGTTTTAAGACCGCTACAATAACATGTCAGAATTTGAATAACATTTAAGTAGTGTATTAGTGAGTAATGGTCTCGACATGTTTGTTTTTTGTGTTTTTAATTTATAGGTAAAGGCAGTACAGAAAATGGATATAGGCGAGGCGATACAGTATACAGAGGAAAGACGTTTGATCACCGAGAAGTTCGAAATAGTCTGAAGTTTTATTTCACTGGAGGTTTTTCAATTACCGATTTTGGGGAGAAATTTTCACATATTTTGTTCAAAATAATAATTAGTTTGTCTAGTGAAGGTAATGGATGTAATTAAATTGCTGTTTAACTTCCAGTTATGTTTTTTGCTCGCTACATTCAGTTTATTCATAAATTGTTATTCGTGATACTACCGGATGCTGTTTATATTTTCGTATCTAGAGAACTTCAATATTTATCAAAGTTGTCTTGAGTGAGCTTAGTTTTGTTATCCTTTCCAATAGACCACTCGTCAGTTCTATGCAGAATACACTTTTTGTTGCTATTGTATGTTAAGTATTAAATTCATAAAAATAAAATGTTGGGTTGGTTTTTGTTTTCAGCATTTTGTCATAATCCACACGCTATTAAATGGTTAACAGCACAAGCACTCCAGTTAGTTATTTTTGATCCAGTTATTTTTCTATCATTGCCGGTATTCTTTTTGGCTGAACGTTTTCCTGTTCTATTACTCTCATGTTTAGGCAGAAGATTTGCCTATCCTAATCATTTGCAAAAGTTCTTTTGTTGCTGGAAGTTTAATTAAGTCCTTATTGCTATAAAAACTGGAGGATATTTAAAATGTGTCATGTTATCAGAGTGTATCTGGTCCTTAATGGCTTACTGCCCAAGGTAGAGGTTATCCAATGAAAGGTTGCGGCGGATGCTAGACGTCATAATGATGGTACACTTCTTTTTTTGGATTCCTTGATGATCTCTGGAATAAGATTATTTGATTGCATTTATTTTGTACCAGGTGGGGAGGAGCATTGATAGTAGGTAATTGTGTGGAAGATTTGGTGACACACAGCAGTGGATCTCAGATCTATTTATGGTTGATGGAGGTTCGTGAAGTAAGGCATTTCTCAGTAGTAGTGAAGGAAGATATGCTGAATGTGATTGGAATGTAGACTACAAAACAAAAAAGTTTTTTCTTGGCTTCGTTTCCTGTTTATCAACAGGAAACTAAGTTTTTTTGATCTGCGTGAACGTGGAGTGCTGCATTTTCGGTCCTCTATGTCACTATATCTAAAGCTTTTCGATATATTTACTGAGTTCATCTAGTGTTGCCATAATTCGCTTATTTTCAGACTTTCCCAATAACAATAGTGGTCAAACTGACTTCACGTATGGCATATTAATTGTAAACTGATTATTGTACCTGCAGAACATTTGGGGTGTTTTATTTATTCGGTGTAGTTTTGATTAAAGATACAGCTTGTTTTATACATTCCTAGTTCAAGAATAGAAATTGGTGATCAACAGAACCTTTAATCATCCAGTGTCACAATAGTGCGTCGAATATATGCCACATAGTCTTGTATTGGTTTTCTGAGAAGGGTAAAGATCGTTTTAAAATATTTCGTCTATTCATTTCTGGTAATGTTAAATAATTCTACACAATTGGGTGTTTGGAAAAAAGTGAAGATGTCACCTTTAGGTGCTGGGAAATGTTAATCTGTTGAATTCGTTTCTCAGCGATATAGATTTATTCGGGATGTAATATTATTCTTCACAATATTATTAACAACAAAAGGGGTGTAAAATATATATGTATATATTACACGATGAATTGATGAACAGTGATGATTTATGCAAAAAGCAAGCAATATGATCAACTAATAAATTCTTTGTCGTTGCCTTCGATAATAATTTGACTGTCGGTTAGTTGATAGGTCGTTGAGTTGGGGATATGTTACAAGAAATGTATTTAGCGAATAGTGTCGTTGTTTGTGGTTCAGTCGTGGAGAATAAGCGAAGAGGATGTATCGTCTGTTCGATTGTAAAACCTGAACTCTTTCGGGATTTTTTCATATATATAAGGATTAGGGAGGAGTTTTGTAAGCTCCATCGGGATTATCATGGAGGTATGACTGACTGCCCTTTGGCATTGTCCATTGTGCAGGTACAATGATACCATTGTCCATGGTGTAGATACTGCGACGTTTTTGTGTTATGCTGTCCACTGTTAGCTTATATCCTCTTCATTGCTTTAATTTTACAATATTTCGTCATCCCGTCTGTTGGATATTGTGGAAATTTCATTTGAACATAGCTTTAATTTGGGTAGTCCGACAGAAAATTTTAAAGCTGATGACAAGAAAAGTGCAAGATGTTTTGCAGGTATGAGCAGTTTATTGACAATTGATCAAAGCTCTTTTCTTTTAACTGGAATCTATTAGGTCTTTTCGCCTTCGTCAAAATATGAGACTGTTGCATCTGATCTACTTTTTTTTTGCATTCTTTGAGGAATTCTGAGGAACATCAAAGAATAATTTACGAAAATTGGTCGTAGGTTGAGTTGTTGATCAGAAGAAGTGATCATAGTATTTCATAATCACCTGTGAAAAAATAATTAAAATTGCGAGTGAAGGTACATTTAAAACCAGGTGTAGAGAATTATGTCGATATGGGAGAAAAGTTATATTTACAAAAGAACTCCGAGAGTGGTCTAATATTTATACTTTCTGAAAGTTAAGTTTGATCTGCACGTCTTTTTGTACTGTGCTTAAGGTTTACATTTTTATATACTATTTACATTCAGCAGTTTAATTTTGGCTGCAAAGCGTAAAGTCCCTTGATTTTTTTCATTCGCACAGTTTTTCGTTGTAGAATGTCACAGGAATATCACATGAAGAGGTTCCAAACGTGGGTCAGTTCATGAAATTCAGAGATAGATAGAGAGCCAGTATGGATGGTCACTCATCGTCAAACAGTGCTTGAAGTGTTGTTCTGTGCTCACATTAGTTGAATAGTTCTTTTGTTGATTCTTCTTAAAATTATAGTAAAATAGTTCATAATTAATCCTGTTGTTGTCGCGTGTTTAACAAATAGGATGAGTTTTTGTTTCCAGGTTGACAAAGATGGAAATGAGGTGGCAAATGAGTCTGATATGATGTTCGGTTGGCAGATGTGACTGGTATAAATGACGATGGTGATATCGTTGAGATCTGTTTTCTTTTGTTTTTCGGAATCTGATGTCACTTTTCATCATTACAATTATATTGTTCTGTCGGTTAATCATTATTTTCAGCAGGATTATAAGGTTAGTCAGATTAGTATGCATCGCAAAAAAGCGATGCATGTATTTTTGGAAGATTTTTTTGATATTAGTCGTAGTCTCATAAGCACTCTTTTGACAAGTTAAGCATTTTAAAAGTAAGATTTTTTTTTGGGAACAAGGTATGCAGAACTGAATTGATGAAGTTTAGACTGGTGGTAGTTTGGTTGATGAAATGCAAGATATAGATGAAGGAAATATTTACAATTATTCACCTACATCTAAATGGCTCATCTCAAGCAGTGCTTTATGCTATATTATGCGCCGTTCTTCACTTCTATATTTTAGTTGTAGTCTACATAGTTTTCTCTTTGTGCCGGAAACGATGTTATGCGAGAAAACCTTAATGTGTTTTAATCATGCTGCTGTTGCTATTCCTTTCATTTCAATATTTCTACTCTTCATACCAAAGTTTAAATGAATATACAACCCATACGCTATATATGCATTGCCTACATTGTCATTCCAAGCTTTTCTGCCATGCCTTGCTTGATTTTCCTAATTTTCCTAATCATAGCTTATGATTAATCGCAGCTTATCAGTTTGCTCCAAATTCTTCAGCTCACTTCAGAATCACTATATGTAATTTGTGAAGTGGAATTTTACTCGACACATTTTCTATTTTAGTTTTTATGCTTTTCAAGACACAGGATATGTCCTCTGAAGTGATTACTTGTTTTCAAAATTATGTACTGATTGGGTAGACCCTTTGCTGGGGCTAATTAACCGTTCCAGTTGTTACATTTTATACATTTCGTTATAGCATTTGTTGTTTCCGCACCATTGATCCACACCCTCCCTATATATGTATATATGCAGACTCGCCATTTTCCTCTTATCCAGTATGCTGTAAATGTTCTATTACTCAAACAATATTAATTGGAGGAGAGTTAAGTACGTCTGATAAATCGACATCAAAGGGGTATGGTACTAGCCAATCTTTAAGTTCATTCTCACTGAGAAAATATTTCTAATCAAGAAATACAAAACTATTCTGAAATTTAATAGTGAATATATGAGAAAAATGAATTTATTATATATGTATAATGTGTAACAACATGCAATAATACGGACTATACAGAAGAAAGATTTCTGATTTCAGCGTTTTGGGCCTTAGCGTCTCTACAGTTCAAACTTCCCAGAAGGAGTTCTGTAGAGCGGGAAAAGCTCATTGAGTCATAAGTGGAATGATGCAGTAGGGCTGAGAAAACTTACTCATCCGACTGTTTTTCAGATTAGTCATTGGAAAAGAGTGGCGGAACATCTGCTAAGTCATGGTTGTTGCTGGACTAACTCCATGAGTATAAATAAAGACTGGATAGAATAAGTAGGAGTGTCACGAATTGTATACCATTTTTAGAAATGACCACTGTTTCATTGATACGCTTTCGGAGAGTGGCATTTTCGTCAATAAGTGTGCTGGTCCGCTTCAGCTCAGCCTGGAGCATCTTTTGTACCTGAATGGAAGTTATATATAAGGGCCAGCGTGTTGCAAAAAATTCCTTGGTGGCTTAGATTTGATGGGATGAGAGGACTGAATTAATTGTGATTGTCCCAAGCAGGTGGTACCTCTTCAACATAAGCTAGTGCCTCATCCCATTGCTGTAATAGAAGTTCATTTTGCTCCATAAGTTTCACTCTGGACTTTCGTTCTTCTTCTAATTCTTGCAGTAATTGTACTTCCTGTTCCGTTTCCACAGCATCGCTCTCGTTTTCATTTACACATCGAACGGTACTTTCTGATGTTTCTTCCAGAGAGTCCTACAACTACCCATCAATGCTATACATTTCTAGCCATTTAAATCTCTGACGCAACTTAAAGTAGAGCAACTGATCGATAAATTAGGATGGAGAACACAGTTCGAATCATTCATCAATTCAACAATCATGTCTTACTTTGCCTTCAAACATAAAGGGTTCTTACCTGGTCAGGTGAAGATCGCTCAAAGTGGGATTGCTCAAGGCGTTCGATAAGCTGACACTTGTCAACAATAATAGCATCTTTGCCTCGGATCTCTTCTTCCAAGTCGAATATTGTTCGGTCACGCTCTCGAATTCGTAATTTTAGCTGTGCTATTTCAAATTCAAGCTCTATTTCTCCCTCTTTTTTCGCCTTCTCTGTAATATCAGCCGAGACTAAGTGTACATTGGATAATTCATTAAAACATTCTAATTTCAGACAGATCTGTGTTGATCTTCTCACTTTCATGGTTGGTAAAACAAAGTGTTCTTCCTTTTCGAAAACAAAGCCGACATAAATAGCGAGGACGTTAAGTCGGACTAAAATTTCAAAAATCTATGATTTGAAAAATCATTCCCTTTTTCTGATTTTGTTACTTTCCTTTTGTTTTAATGAGCAGCAAACATTGGCGAGATAAGAAATATCTAGGATGGGAATGGAGAGAAAGAAAACCTGGTTCGTTGACTTTCTTTGATGTTAAAGGTGCCATACCGTAACGCACTTCTGAATATCGTCTCCAGTTTCTGAAAAGAACCTTTCATTTCCATCTTATTAGTTTGATGCATAATATGAGAGTCGATTGGGGAGGCATCTTGTGAAGCCTCTTGGAACATGTATTGTCTAGGCTACAGTTTTATCTGTTCCAGTAAATCCTTTCCGATGTCATAAGAAATAGTACGTCACTTTTTATTTCTTTTAAGCGGCTAAGACATTTCGTTTGAAATGCACTCCATCTTTGTCAGGGAGAAAAGACTAAGTTTCTAAATTAATCCGAACATTGCAGTATTACATAAGTGACTGTCCTATGCTTTCATGAGAAATATCTTTCTTCTGCAATGCCTTAACTTTTAACTTGAAGTATTCTTCGAGAGGAAATAAAGTTAGGAAGGTTGTAACTTCAGTTGAGAACGGCTATGTTTGACTCGATGCTATTCAGAGGGACTCGCATGGTCGATGTATGTTAGTGATGGGACACTCACTAATAGGGATGAAGATATTATTAAAAAATTGGGAAAATAGTGTAAGAGAAAAAAACAGAAGTGTCTTGCCGGTGGTGTTGCTTGATTTCGCTGTACAAAGTGGAATGCGATCCGACTAAGAGCGGCTGTTTCCTCTGTGTTGTAATACTAACTCGTCTAATTTCATCATCCTTGTTTTTGCTTTTGCATAAAAAACTCAAGAAGTGGAAGAATTGGAGTAAAAATGGTGAAGGAGGGAAATATGTATACCCAATCATACTCCGCGGTCTTCCCTTTAACTTAGGAAATATCTTCAGTGCTTTCTGGAAATTGGCTAAATTGCAAGTAGTGAGATAGGACAAATATGAGATGGTTCTATTAACGTGAAATCACAAGTTAAGTTTACCTTACAGTAATATGTGTACGGCTGACTGATAATTTTTATTCTGCGCATGCAATTAGCTAACTGGATTGAATGCTGTGGTCGTAAAATAGTAAAGCAAGCGATCCTAATTCGGAAAGTGGATTGCTTCCCAAATTTTAATAAATCAAATTAATTTGAAGTATTTACTTGAGGAAATGTGCAAAATGAAAGGGCAAAAAAGTCCTTTGAAAAGTCATTTAATTTAGGGAAATGAATGGCAAAAATACTGGTTGCGGACATCAAATTCACGATTCTATCCATATTTATTGGATTCTCTTAGAAAGAGGCATGTAATGAATATTCCCCACAGTAAGTCTGACATTGTTCTGATTTTGTTTGATCAATAATCTGATAAGAAAATGATTGCAGTTTTGGATCATAAATTTTAAATTATTATAACAGGTCCAAATATATCTTTATCACCAATCGTTGTTTGATTGATAATCAAGAAATTGTTACCAAAGAGAAATATGTTT